ATAACACACCTATGTTTCAGCTGTTGCTGATCAGTGCTGCACAGAGCCAAGGACATTTCAGTTTTTCAGCTCTTCATACTGCCCTGCCAGCGAAAGGCTGGTGGGCCACAAGGAGCGGGAAGGGACAGAACCAGGGCAGCTGACCTAAATGGGCCAAAGGTATGTTCCATACTATTTGGCATCATGTAAAAAAAAAACATAAAACTGAGAAGAGTGAACTGATTGGGTGGCAACTGCTGCTCTGGGACTGGCTGGGCATGGATGCGTGCAAGGTGAGCAGGTGCATTGTGTGTCCCTTTTTTTATAGATATACATTTATACTGCTATCATCATAGTCAGTTCTCTTTCCCTCTCCCTTTTTTTTTTTTTTTTTCCTGTCTTAGTAAATAGTTTCTATTTTAACCTGTGCCTGTGAGTACTACTTCCTTTTTTTTTCTGATTCCTTACCCCATCCCACCTTGAGCTGAGGTGGTGTGAACAAATGGCTGTTTGTTGCTGAACTGCTGTTGGGTTAAACCACAAGTGCATGCTATTTACTGTCCCTGGAAAAGCTCAGACTTCTGAAAAGTTTGCATAGCTGAGCTAGTATTTGTGCTTAGAGAATTTAAAAGCTAGCATACTTTTCCTGTTCATTTATGTTTTTGGGATTTTCAACACATTTTTATCATCAAGTAAATTTATCATGTCTCCCAACTACATTTTTATTTCCTTTTGTGTCTTTAGTGTCTTTGACTGTAAGTAATAGCAGTGCCTTTTCAGTATGCTTTAGCTTAGTCATACTGTAGTTATATCAAAGGAAAAATAACTGTCTTCAAAGTTGTGTAGTATGAACATTAGAGACAGGACTTACATACCAAATCTGATATTATTCTCTGTACCTCCACTGATTAATTCTATGAAGTTGTTTGATTCCTGTAAAATGAGTTCAGAACTGATCTAAGACCTATATGATGCTTGTGGAAGGTAGTCACAAAACACCACACTGCTGTAGCTCTTCATGTTTGCTTGGATCTGTGATTATAAGTTGAAAATGTGTTCAATACTGGTGTTCAATAATGTGTCATGTTTTCAAGAATCTAACTGCATAGCTACAGCTGCTTCTTTAATGCCCTATTCTTTTAATGGGGGTACAAATTTGTTTTCATTTTGATCTTTTCTGTGGGACTCTTGTAGCATAGTCTCCACATTTACTAATGCTTCCACCTCCAAATAGCTGAGATAGTTTCATTTACAAAGAAGAAAATGTAATTGCAAGCAGCAATATGAATATTGACTAAGAATCAATTACTTCTGTTTGGCTTCTAAAAAATCAACTTTTTGTGTTTGTGTGGGTTTCTATTTCAGATGAAGGAGATTTGACTTTGTAATTTATGGCCAATATACTCTTTCTTACAATTTTGAAGCCCCAGTTGAGAAAGGAAGTAGTTTTGTTTATGTGGACTGGAATACAGCAATAAGATTCAGGAAAGTTTTGTCAGTAGTAGACTTAAAATGAGTCATGACACTTCCAGTGGCTGCTTCTGTGCCTTTGAAGAGGTGTCAATCCTTGGCAAAATTGGACTCTATTAAATTGTCACAGCATCATGGCTTTCTTTCAAAATGAAGGCTTCAGGCTACTGTACTCTTTTGTCTTGTTTCTTTAAGAGAAGGAAGTTGTTAAAGTTTTGTTTGTGTACTGTCTTTCTTGACTCTCTCACTGCTCACCAGAGGCACTTCTGTCCTAGAACGGTAGTCTAGGACTACCTACAGATATATAGATATATAGATATATATCCTATAGATAGGAGTTCAATCAGATGGATTAGTTTAATAGAAATTTTGTTGTATATGCACGTGAGTAAGCACATACACAGATCGTTAACACCTTTGCTCTTACTAGATTTTTGTGGGGTTTAAGCCATATCTAGGGCAGCATAACTAATAAGTTTTAAGTTTTGTTTTAAATACTACAATTTATGTCCAAAATGTAGATTTACTGCTTAGGAACCAATGTTGTCGCATTAATAACATTTTTGAGCTGCTTGTGTTTCAAAATTCGTTTGCAAGTGCTGTCAAAAGAAATTGTAAATTAAGCCTTTAGTTCAGAAAAACTATCCAAGTTTACATATGTGCGTGTAAGTTTTGAAAGCTGATTATAGTAATCAATTGGTGTAAGTAGAAAATTTTAGTGTTTATTTGCAGGCCTGTGGTATGCTATGCATTAGTTTACTACTTGCTTGTCACTAATTTTAAAAATAGAAGCATAAGAGTTATTTTCCTTGGGTTTTATTTTTATTTTGAAGTTTTATTTCATTGCCAAATGTGTAGCATTTAAAAAAAAATGTATCTTTATTTTTTCCTTCTGTCATGATTTTTTTTTTTGTTACACTGTTACTGTATACTGTAAGCAAGAGCTATATGTATAATTATAAAATAACATGGCTGTATACTCTGAGGCTATGGTAACATTTTTTGGGAGCAGAACGTTTAACAAGGAGACAAAAGCACAGATTATTGTAATTGAGCAGATGCCAATTTTCTGGAAGACAACCAAATTATACCAAAGTTAACAAAATGATAACTTGTTTGTTTTTACCTTCTTGTCAATTATAAGAGCATTTTATCAGTTTCAGCAACCAAAACCTGATCTGCTCGCTGCAGAGCAGTAGGAATACATTTTCTGTAATAAATATCTCTTTAAAATGCATGCAACCGAATGTAGATGTAGATTCGTATGTGAAATTGTTTAAATTGGCCATTGCAGTTGAAATACTAGCAAGAATAAATAACTGCTCAACTAAAAATCTAATTTGGATGGCTAGAATAATGAAGGGAAAAATACGATAAGTAGTTGTCAATATCAAAGCAGGCTGAAGGAGGAAGGCTTCAGGCCTTGTGGTAGGTAGAATGAAACAGCAGATTTGAGTATCCACAATCCTTTCAGTATTAAATTTCAGTAAAATAAAATTACTTGTATATGAAAACATAGCCTTTCCCCAGCTCTCTTTTTTTTCCTGATCAGCTGATGAAGAGACTAGCAGCTCGCTGCTTTGCTGGCTTGTTAATTTTATCCCCACTAACTGTGATTTCCGATAGCTGGCCTGCTGATAGTGGTAAGGTAAATATCCTTTTTCATTGCTGTCTTGAAGATTCAGTAGAAGTACATCACAGGCATGTGTAGGTGTTTAACACATCAAAAGTCGGTGCTCTCTGTAATTCTGTGTACCACTGTGTGCTTAAGGAGAGCAATGACATTAACTGTTGACAGCCTTGCATGCTGTATTTATTATTAGCATTTCTAGCTTCCAAGATATGCAGAGAAATTTCTCTATCTTCGTTAGCTGCAGTGGTTTGTAGTGGGTGTCCTGCTTTAGCCAAATGAATATTAATGAATTTGTGTGCAGATTTTTTTTCATTCTTTTTTCTTCCTAACTCATCAGATCTCAAGCCTCCTTCATAATGGTTATCTGAGTGCTGTGGAAGCATGATATAAATTGTTTTTTCATTATTAAGGCCTAGTTTCAGGCTGTCCCTCAGGATTCTGTGTGTTCGTGTTTGTTCTGTGGATTTGCACACTGGAGAATGCATAGGAAACAGATTTTGAAATCCCACTGGTGTTTTTAACATGCCAGGTTGTTCTGTGTTGCGCACCAGGTTTTGTTCACAAAACGTTTTTCAAGAGACATTGTATACAATTGAAAGAAATTATGTCTGGGCTGTAATGACTCTTTTCATGTAGATTGTTATGCTCACATGATCATAAATATTAGCCATGTTTGGTGCTGTGGAAAAATGAAGGTAATTGCCTTATGATTAGAGCTCTTTCAGCTTCGAGAAAGGATTGATTAGCATTCGCATGTACTCCAGGCAATATTGAGAGGCAAAAGGGACAAATATCAACAACAGTTACGTTCTGAGAAAGCGTTAATCAGAAAGACTAGTTTTAAGTTTCTTTGGGCTTTTTTTTTCCTTTTAATTCCAGCTCCTTTATGACCCAGGTGTTTTTTCTTTCTTTTCTTTTTTATTATTTTATTTAATTTTATTTTATTTTTTTGAGTGGGAAGGGGGGGGGAGCCCTTCTCAAAGGAAGAAAAGTTCAGCTTTTTGGTTTATCACATGGATCTGTTAGTCATTGTGTAAACGGATTCCTTTTTTCCCTAGGTTTTTTGTTTTGTTTTCTTTTTGTTTTGTTTTGTTTTTGGTAGCAATTTTTTTTCTTAATCTCCCTGTATGGTGCTGCTGGGTCTGATTAAAAGCAAACATCCAGGTAATGGAAACCGGTGTTCATTGTTTGTGACTGTGTGGTGGTGCTTCTTTTTTTCCTTTTTTTTTTTTTTTTGCATCCCATGTTATGAGTGCTTTTTACTGCAGAGCACTGTATCGTCAGTTCTTCTGGCTCTTTTCTTAAGATACCATTGTAGAAGAAAATTATGTACTTAATAGCTGGCTTTAATGTTTAGATGATTTGTAAGTTACTTAAACTATTTGGAAGAGAATCTGATTCTTATTGTTAATGTGTAAGTTAGCTGTGCATTGTTTGTGTGAACAAAGAACTGTGTGTGATCTGGTTCTGGGAGCAGAGTGTAGTGTAGATTGTCCTATTTGAAATCAAGCAACATAAAATTCTGTTTTGTGTACAGCTAAATAATCAAGAACTGCCAGTTGTAACAAACAACTGTTTCCTGTATACTTACTGACACAGTACCACAGGCCCTCATTTTCTGTGAAACTGTGACATGGTGTGAAATTTAAGGTTCAGATAAATATTTATTCGTTTAGAGGACTGGAGGATTTTTAGATCAAATTAGTGTGCAGTGTGTCAGCACACTTTGCCAGCAACTCAGTTTTTTGTTGAACTCTTTTTATACAGGAAAACTTTTCGGATAAGTGAACTGAGTATTTACAGTTGCATTATCTGCATCCTTTGGGGCTGCACTTATGTTTTTAAATATAGTTTGTTATTTCTTTTTGCAATACATACTTTGTTTTAAAATTGTACTTTTTGAATCCATGACTTTCAGGCGATTGAAGACGGCAATTTGGAAGAAATGGAAGAGGAAGTGCGGCTTAAAAAGCGGAAGAGACGAAGAAATGTGGATAAGGACTCTGGGAAGGAGGATGGAGAGAAAGCAAAGAAAAGAAGAGGCAGACCTCCTGCAGAGAAATTATCACCTAACCCACCCAAACTGACAAAACAAATGAATGCCATCATTGATACAGTGATAAACTACAAAGACAGGTGAGCACTTTCTCTCTCTTTTCCCCCTACCCTCCTGTCCTGCTTCAGTTTTATTTTCAGTCTTCAGAATGAATTGCTTACACAGCCTTTCTGAAAAGTAGTTCCTCTTAGGGCTTAATCCTGGAAGTCTTCCTTAATCGTAGAATCATATAGCATCATAGAATCATAGAATGGCTGGTGTTGAAAGAGACCTCAAAGGTCAGCTAGTTTCAACACTCTGCCATGTGCAGGGTGGCCAACCAATAGACCAGGCTGCCCAGAGCCACATCCAGCCTTGCCTTGAATGCCTCCAGGGATGTGGCGTCCACAACATCCTTGGGCAACCTGTTCCAGTGTAAATAGAATGTAGAGAGTTTAATGTAGAGAGTTTAAATTTTGAAGACCCATCTGATAGAGCTTGTTGAAATAAAAATATGTATTTAAAAAAAAAAAGCATTGAGTTCTACTCAGAAATGAAGTCATTCTGTTTAGGAGGTGTACTTCAGAATCTGCAGCTTGAGAAGGATTTTCCTTTAATGAATGGTGCATCCTGTATTAATATCTCTTCAAATATGTATTTGAATTAATTAACCATTAATATGGATTTGTTACGGCAAGTTCTCCCCGTGACCTGTTAGATTACACAAAACATGTAGGGTCAGTATTTTGAGCTCTTGATCTACCAAAGGAAAAAATGTGGAAATACTGGGAATAATGTGTTGTATGCATTTGAGGTAGAAGCCTGGTCATCAAACCATTTCAGCATCATAAAATAATTAATTGCTTAACCTTAGGAAGAAATGTGGTTCTAAACCAAAATATGACTTGAAGATTTTTTATTTGGCAGATTTTCAAATTGAAAATCATCTTTGCTTCAGGAGGAGAAAATTAAGAAGTTGTTAGTTAATAGCACCTTTGAATCAGATTTGTTTCAGGAAGTTGTGGTTTTGAACTCTGCTTCTATTTCCCAAATCTTAGTACAGCCTTTTTATTTATGTATCCTTTCTTAACCATACATTGAATTAGATGTGTCATATAAAGACTGATCTTAGCTAAATTAATATAAAATGCATTCAGAGACAACTGTGAAGTGTTTGCATTAGATGACCCACACAAAGTAACAGTACAATTTTTGCATGTAAGGAAACTTTCAGAGTTTTTGATGGGAAGTTGCACTTCTTCATTTTTGCAGCTTCTATTCTAGATACGGCTGCAGAAAGTTAACTTAGATAGTATCTGGTGAAGGATACAGAGCCTGATTTCTTTGGCACATTAACTGTTGAATTGAATCGTTCTGTGATCTGGGGACTTTCCAGAGTACTTGTTAAAGTTTGTTGTATCAGAAGAGGATTCACAACAGTGAACAGGATGAGCACGATGCTGACAGCAAACTTAATATATTCATCCTTAGTATACTCATCTCATGAAAGACTCAAAATGAGCAGGCAATGTGCACTTGCAGGCCAGAAGGCCAGCTGTGTCCTGGGTTGAATCAAGGGAAGCATGACTGGCTTCTCATAAGTCCCCATCTGGAGTACTGTGTCCAGTTCTGGGGCAGTCAGCACAAGGACATGGAGCTATTGGGGGCAGGGGGGCAGGGGGTCCAGAGGGTCTGAGGGCTGGAGAACCTCTCTTATGAGGATAGGCTGAGGAAGTTGGGGCTACCAGCCTGGAGAAAAGAATGCTCTGGGGGGACCTTGTAGCAGCCTTCCAGTACCTGAAGGGGCCTAAGGGAAGCTGGGGAGGGATTTTTCATAAGGGCATGCAGCAAAAGGATGAGGGATGTGGGGAAATGTCTTTAAACTGGAAGAGGCTGATGAGACACTGAAACAGGTTGCTCAGGTGAGGTTGTGAATGCCCCCTCCCTGGAAGCAGTCAAGGCCAGGCTGGATGGGGCATTGAGCAACCTGGTCTAGGGGGAGGTGACCCTGCCTATAGCAGTGGGACTGGAACTAGATGATCTTAAAGGTCCCTTCCAACCCAGACCATTCTGTGTGTCTATGATCTTGCTGTGACTTTCTAACAGAAAAGCTGAAAAAGTGTTTAAATTTCAGGACTAGTGATCAGGGAATAATAACAAAGGATTTCTCATAGTTTGGCTCCCCATCCTGGAGCTTTTTCCTAGCTAACCTGCTTCTGATGGGAGCTTCTACCTCTCAATTCAAAAGTAGCAAGCATGTTACTTCCACGGGCCTCCTGTATAGCGGGGATGGTTACTGATAGTAACTGATAGTTACTGGGTAAATAAAAACTGTGGGTAAATAAAAAACTGTGCCTGTTTCTTCTTCCCCAGGAAGTTTGTATCTGATTTCTGCCATACAAGTAGCTGTGCTGCTTGAAGAGAAAAGGCATGCCAGTCACTGTCCTCGGAGCTTGTCTTTCAATTCTGCAAGACAGAATCGTTTGCAGCTTTAAAATGTATATGGAGCTGTAGTCTGACAGAATTTAAAAAAGCTTCCCTGCATGTTTCTCTACATTTGAGAAGAGCTCACACATATATAGGGTTTTAGTTGACTGATTTTGTGTGTGTGTGTGTGTGTGCGCGCACACGCGTGTATGTGTGGAGGTTCTGGTTAATGTTAAGGTGAAGAAGGAATCTCCAAATAGTTTCTTAATTGTTATCCCGTCCTTGAGTTCTGTTATAGCCATTTGGTGAGAAGTATACTGTTTTCCTTGCTTACTCTAGAAGTTTGAAACAAAATAGAATGGGTTGTCAATGTCTAGGAGAGCTAAAAGCTATAATACCAACAATAATAATAGAATCATTGAATGGTTTGGATTGGAAGGCACCTTTAAGATCACCTAGTTCCAGTCCCCCTGCTGTAGGCAGGGACACCTCCCACTAGACCACGATCCTCAAAGCCCCATCCATTTTGAGGGATCTAAGCTTTACTAACCAGCACTACAAGCTGCAGTTATTAAAATAAGGTCAAAGAGAGATTGCGCAAATTAGCAGCATTTAAAACAAGTATTTGGAGTAGAGAATGCAGCATATGATTCTTTTGAAAACAAAATTCAGAAGTAGATATCTAACTAGTTGTAAAACCCTTTTAAAGAACTCTATGCAAGCCATGAAAGTTAGCATTGAGGTCACATCCTCGTGGAGGTATATCCCATTTAATAAAGCAAGTGGTAAAGACGGACAAAATGAATTCTTATGCACTGTTACAATCTTTGGCTCTGTTTGGATACTTTGTAGAGAGAACTGTTGAGCTCTTTGTCAAATTCATGCTGCTACATCTTTCAGGCAGCTGTGCTTTGGATCACACTATTGGATGATGTTCTTCAGGCTCTTCTTTGTGTTGATAAGCATTTATCTTAGTACTGCTGAAACAAACAGTCATAACTGAATTTACAAAACTGTGAAGTAAGTGCTGTGGAGAAGTAAAAATGTGTGTTGAAATCAGTGTTACATTCTTAAATTTTACGTATGCTCTATTACTCAGCTTCGAATATCAAAGGATAAAATATGTTACCAGCTGTAGCAGAGCAGAACTACGGATGCAGAGCAGTGTTCTCTATTATAAGTGAAACCTACATATAGTTAGTCTAAATTTCATCTGTAATGGTTTAGACTGGAGAATAAATCTTCAGCGGAGGAAAAACAATATAGAAAGATGGTCAGAATCCCTTAACATCTGGGAAGAATGTTCTAAGTAAGGCTATGACAGAGAAAAAAGATTTTTAAGATTGATCTTAAAAATGTTATCTTTTCTTACTCTAGATTTTCCAACTTTTTGCAGCATCTACTCAGATGGAATACAGCTGTGGAGAGTAATTTTGGATTAAGTAATCTGGTTTCTTCATTCTAAATTAAATGGACAGATGGAGGAAAGAGTAGGGTTTGATAAATTAAGGAAAACAGCTCAGTTAACTGAGGTTTTAATGTGAATGAGATCTGAATTTGCTAAGGTGGAAGTATTGTGAAATGTTAATATTAAAATGAAGGATAGTCTTCTGGGAAAATGTTGATGCTTTAGCTAGATGAAAGAGAAGAATAAAGGCTGTTTCTAGAAAAAAAAAATGGTGAAGAAATCTGAAACTGTTTCAGAATTGTCTTTTTGAGAAAAAGAAGTGAGAATTCCCAGAAGTAAGTTAAAGCTTGCAGGAAGTATTGAACATTCTGGAAAATATTTCTTGATTTATATTAATAAAAAAGGAATAAGGAAAGATGTAGTGTGCAGTGAGGATGACACAGTAAATAAATCATTGACTGGCTTAGGCTGGAAGGTACCTCAAAGCCCATCCAATTCCAGTCCTGTGCCATGGCATCATTGCCAACCCACTAGATCAAGCTGCCCAGGGCCCCATCCAACTTGGCTTTGGGTGCCTCCAGGGATGGGACATCCACAGTGTCTCTGGTCCAATGCCTTACCACTGTCCAAGTAAAGAATTTCCCTCTAATATCTAAATCCTCCTCTTTTAGTTTCAAGTCATTTCCTCTTGACCTGTCACTATCAGCCTGCTCCTTATAAACTCGGCTCAAGTACTGTAGGGGTGTAGTATGATCTCCCCAGAGCCTTCTCCAAGCTAAACACTCCCAGGTCCCTCATCCTTTCTTCATAGGACAGATGCTCTGTGGCCTGCAGAACTAAATGAATGCTTATTTAGCTCTCATTAAGGATAGTGATATTGGTTGAGAAGACAAAGGGATAGTTTAAGGGGATAGAGAGAATGTAGATAGGAAAATTACAAGGCAGTGAAATATTAGAAGAACTCCAGCATTTAGCTCAGAGAACAGTATTGCCAGTAGGGAAATACAGATATCATTATATGTGATAGAGTTAATGTTACTTAAGGAATACGTTCATTGAATAAGGAAGATTAGTTTATACTTTAACTAGTGTAAATAGCTACTGTAGTGATAACTAGCATGAGAGAGTGTTGCAAGAGGAAACAGGGATTTTTATTTATCCTCATGCAGCACAGTCTGAGAGGAGATGATGATTGCTTTCAGTAAATTCACCAGAGAAACAAAGAAAGCATGAACACTGGGAGAATGTGGAAATAAGTAGAATACA